CTTGCGGAGTGGCCTAAACAAATTCATTCTTCCAGTCTTTTGTTCGTGAACGCTGTTTTGCGCCTTCTTCATTTTGTCGGGTCCTTTTTCCACTCCTGCATTTTTGTGAAACTATTACGTGCAATTCTCGAGTAGACAATAGTTCATTAGAGGCTTGGGTAGCAAGACAGAATGATTTTCGAAACCCTCTCCGGTCAAACTTTGAAGAGGACAGGAACTTTGAGTCCCAGGAATCAAAGCACGAATTGAAGCACTCGAAGGAGTCAATGTACAGGACCAACGTTCTTTCAGTATGTAATTTTTTCATCTGCATATCTTGTCATTGTTTTGCTGAATTTCGAGAGAGCCAGTGATGGTTCTTGAGGACGGACTCAGCTTTTGTCATTGCGTGATTTGCTAATGTTTTAGGTCGTCAGCTGGGACGACCGGTAACGACACGGCGCTGAAACGGCTGGATTCGCCAAGGAGCGCGGATGGTGGTTAGAGCGCAATTCCTTACCTGACTTCAATTTGCTTTCTTCGAGATTTACTTTTGATGACTGCACCTTTTGATGACTTCTCAGGTTCTGCGAAGAGGAGAAAAAAGGTCCACAATTCACATTTGTGCATCTTTTTTCCCGCAAGTTTCGCTTGTGCTATCGCGCTTTTTACTTCGGCTACAACGTCTTCTGAAGAATGGTGCACTTCTTGTAAATGCGCGTACAAGTTCTTTCGCAAATAAGGGCCTTTCTTGCATAAGTGATAAGCTTTTGTGATCATTTTACACAATCCTGTATTAGAAAAGGTTTTCCTACACATGTAAGAATTTATTTACGAAGAGTACGACGATAGCGTCTACGGTCGAGATTGGCAGTAAAATAACACAAGTTAGAGGAAACGACAATTGAGGCCCGCATTCACGTACATCCCCGTTGGAGAGAGGAGGGATGTTGAGAAGAGACGCTTCATATCTCCAAGGCTTCACAGATTCTCAGTCAACTTCATTCGTGGGGATATAGACAACTTAGGCTGATTTTCCCTGTCTTACGTGCCCTTTGGGAATCTCAGGGATCACAAAAAGCGGTCTCTCAGCACTTATGCCCATACCCCGGCTATTATCACTGACAGGGTTTGGGATCCCCTTAGTAAGATGGATAGACAAAGAAGTATACAGTCATTTAAAGCGACGAGATATGCCGCGTCCCTTCTCAGCTCATGTCCTCTCTCCGGGAGAGGGATGGGGGAAGGGAGGTATGTGCATACGGGCGTAGAAAAAAGGTTAGCGAAGTGAAGCCATTATCATATCAGTGAGCGTGCTCACATATCCACCCACCGAATATGTGATAACTCAGCGACATTCGAAGTATAAGAACAACAAACCACACTTGAAGGCAGTGTTTGGCCTAGTTGGGCTGATGATGTCATGTTAATAGAAGACTGGCCCTTGTTCAAAGTTTTCCCGGACACTGCCTTTGATACATGGACGTGCCTATATCTTGTTAAACAACGCTCATGCGCGAGGATTTAAACACATTGTTGGGTTATGTGAAGTGGGACAATAAATAAGGTATAATCTTTCATCACTCGCCAGGCAAACCAACGGGTGATGTCAAGAGGCGCGGTTTTTATTGCCAGCTGGACATCAAATTGCACATTTTAAGTGTTTAATAATGTTTTAGAGGCCTTTCAAATTCCTGAGAAATTATAGAAGATCGTTGCATGAGTTGTCCGATCTTATCATCTTGAAAAAGATCCAAAACAGAAACATTGAAGGTCAAAAACCCATGAAAATGCAAATAATGGCAGTTTCGTGAATATTTCGCTCATTTTTGCAGCAAAAGCCGTGAAACTCAGTGAATGGTAACTTCGAACAGCTAGTAAGTTGTTGTAGCCTTCTACTTGTACTTGTACTTGTGGTGGGTCCGGGACACTTGTAGAATACTAGATTTATTAATAGACCGGATATGAATAAGAACAGAGGATAAGACGAGACGAACGAATGACTTAGCTAGCAGGGAGCGCCTTATATAGCGCTCAGATCCCGCGCATAGGTCAGTACAAAACAAATAGATCAGATCGCTAAACAACAACATACAAACAATAACAAATACAATGCTACTCTCCAACATAAGTTAAACGACTTTCTCTGGATTTTTTTAAAAATTTGTGTAGTATGCAGAAATGGGCTTTTAAGTTGGTGACAGCCAGAGAAATCGCGCCTCTTGACCGTCTCCCCAAACCAACAACTCCCGTATACGAATACTTTTTCCGTGTTGCGTTAATGGTTGTACAACTACAAAGAAGAAAAAGGTGAATATTGACACTGGAGCAATGACATGCATGTGGTCAGCACAACTGAATGTTTAGACATATATAAATGGTAGTAGAAGGCACACCTGCGACAAGGAAAACCAAATGGAGTTGAAAGTGAGGAGATTTGCCCCAGTCACAATCCCCGCTCCATGGCGAATCCAGCCGTTCCAGCGCCGTGTCGTTACCGGTCGTCGTCAGCTGGATGACGATCAAGTCGAGCCATATTCGACTCTTCATCTTTCGCTCAGGTATACCACTTGTTGTTTCATCAGAAAGTTGCGCACTGTATTAGGCATCATGTTACAACACTCTGGCAATGATGAGCACTCTGTTTTTATGGTATCCAGGCCTCTGAGAGAGTATCATGACAGTATTTGGGGGAGTAACCTGAGCTAGAGCCGGTAATGGAAACATCTCCACATCATCGATGTTGGTATCATTTACGATTTTGTATTCAGATTACTCGGAGGTGCTAAGAAGAGAAAGAGGAAGGTCTACACTACTCCCAAAAAGATCAAGCATAAGAGAAAGAAGGCAAGCTTGCTGTTCTAAAGTACTGCAAGGTAAGAACCTTGTCCTAAAGTGGCGACGTTTTCTAGCAATGAGGATCATGTTATCTGGTGTCCAGGCCTCTGAAAGTTTCATGACTGTATTATGAGTATCTGAGCTAGTCGTACGAAATTGAAGTTTCCATTTTGTCACTTATTTGCGGATTCAACTGTTACCGTTTTAGGTCGATGAGAACAGGAAAATCAGAGGTCTTCGTAAGGAATGCCAGTCTCCCACTTGCGGAGGAGGAGTCTTCATGGCTGTTCACGAGAACAGATATTATTGTGGACGGTGTCATGATGCTCTTGTTGTTGAGGAACCCTTAGTTTCATCTAAAGGCAAGGGTGCAAGAAGAAGTAATTGTTGTTGTTGACAAATTCTGTTATATATCGTGTTGTGTAAACAGCAGCAGAATTCGTACGATGCTGTATCGGAAACTTCGTGTGCTATCTTCATACTAGCGTATAAAGTTTAAAGGAATAGTAGAATGGTAGAAAAATCACATGAATATGAGTAATTATCGGGATTTGCATGCAAATCAGCAGAGTGTATGACATCCTTCCGTAGCACAAAGACGTCGCGATTGGTTAGAGGTCCGTGACTGAGTATCCCATATCTTCCATTTGTGAGAATGTCTCACAAATTGAATAACCGTACGTTGGCTTTGATAGCTTGACAGGCTTCATTACTGATAAGCAGCAGTGTTAAGCATAAGCTTGTAAATTGCAAACAACGATCATGCAGGTCACTGAATCACAGTAGCTGCTTTCTTAGGCCTGCAAGATTTATTCAACAGTTCTAGATTTCGTTTGAATGTTCTTGCAGTTGTTATGAGTACCGAAGAGTGCGTATCAGACCGTCCAAGTAGTAGCATAGAGTGCTCATGTATACGTACAACATCACTGAATTTTGTTTCCTTCCACGTTCAGTTTGTGATTTGCAGAGACATGGAGAAGTACAGTTGGATTCTTGAGGCAATAAGCGACTCACATGATAATAGTAAGTCACAACTTTGACAGGGTTGGCTTACAAGCCTTACCATGGCCACTTGGATAGACAGATCTTAATTGTATTCAGTCTTCGATGAAAGACCACTTCGTCTGCAGTTGAGAGCGACGTCATGATAATCTGTCGTCGACAAAACGTGCTTAACACTTTAGATATAGATGGCATAGACAGCCATGAAAGTTCATGCCTGCTCCCTTACTTTCGCGCGAGATCCAATCTCACAATCCACACTGCCCAAATTCAAAATTTGTTGACATTTTATACCCACTAGAGATGCCTGGAGAGCAGAACGTCATTTCCTGGAGAGTCTAAAAAGGCACCAAAGGAACGCGACCAATATTATGCGTCTTGTGGGTTGTTTCAGATGCCGCACTGACCGCAGCAGACTGCAGCTGACTGCACTGACTGCAGCAGACTGCAGCTGACCGCATTGACCACGGGGCCGAACAGATCGCTACATCCTTTTGTGAATGTGGGGAAGATGAATAGTTGTAGCTCAAACAGTCTCTTAACAATACATGCCACGATAGACAACACGAGCGAAAGTAGGTAAAACAGGTGTACTCAATGACAAAAGGAATTTGAACAAATATGAGCATATTAAAGAAGAACAATCGCCAAAATTTGATTAGAAGAGTAAGTTAGAACCTATCAACTTTCTAGACGTAAATCATGGTGTTGTGATGTATTCACAACTATTTTCTCTTCTACGAAGGATGCAGCGATTGTGCGGCCGTTGCGGTCAGTGCGGTCAGCTGCAGTCTGCTGCAGTCAGTGCAGTCAGCTGCAGTCTGCTGCAGTCAGTGCGGCAGTATGAAACAACCCTATGGTAGGCGCCAGAGTCCATTTGAACCGGGCCATCGGTCAGTTCGATGACCTGATCAATAGCGAGTGGGGTAAACCGAGTGACAGATAAGTTTGGCGCTTGCTGATGGCGCAAACAACGGATTCCACGTGCAAAATCAATGGTGAGTGCGACTGCAGACATTGCTTCGTATTGGCTTGAGAGTAATAAAATTCTATCGGTCCGGAAATCTTGTTCCCTTAAACCAATCAACTTAAACCTCACGTTTACCTTGTAAAGAGAATTGAAAGCATAGTATTTCAAAAAATATTTTTATTTAAACACAGTGCTCATCATTACCAGAGTGTTATAACATGATGCGTAATACAATGCGCAAGTTTCTGATGAAACAACAAGTGGTATACCTGAGCGAAAAATGAAGAGTCGAATATGGCTCGACTTCATCGTCATCCAGCTGACGACCTAAAACATTAGCAAATCACGCAATGACAAAAGCTGGATCCGTCCTCAAGAACCATCACTGGCTCTGTAAAGATTCAGCAAAACAATGACAAGTATGCAGATGAAAAAATTACATACTGAAAGAAGCTATCGGAACAACTCACCGGCAAAAATTAATTGTTGGTCCTGTACACTGACTCCTTCGAGTGCTTCAATTCTTGCTTTGATTCCTGGGACTTGTCCTCTTCAAAGTCTGACCGGAGAGGGTTTCACGAAGATCATTCTGTCTTGCTACCCAAGCCTGTAATGAACTATTGTCTACACGAGAATTGCACGTAATAGTTTCACAAGAGTGCAGGAGTGGAAAAAGGACCCGACAAAATGAAGAGGGCGCAAAACGCGTTCACGAACAAAAGACTGGAAGAATGAAATTGTTTAGGCCACCCCGCAAGCGTCCAAGTTCAAGGAGCTTGTCGCGCTTTACAGCGAAAAGCGTGACCGAGTGCGAAGTGAGCCAAAGTCAGTAGCTGTGCGCCTCGAATACGTCGAAGATGTACAGCAACCCAACGGCTGATTTCGCGATAGAGCACGGATTACGATTGGAGCATCTCTTCTCAATCCTCCAAAAGCATCCAAATGTGTACGAATGGAGGTCCAAAAAAAAAACAAGGCAAACGAGTAAATCCAGTTTATCCACATTACCAAGAATTCACAAAATTTCTCCACCTTAGAAGGCATGGTCACTACTGCTGCTAAGGGCACATAAAGCTGTCTCAAACCCTAGCCCAAAGTTGAGAGCCGATACATTCTATATGACCAAGCTCACGAGGTTTATAATAATTCCAAACAATTTCAATCCAGCCTCATTTTCGTGCATCATTAGCAGCTTTCCATATATTCGGACACTTGCATCGGAAAGTTCGCGGCCTCAAAGCGTGCTACATGGCGCACCGCGGCCCTTAAAATTTCAGTCGCGAACGCGGCCCATGTATTTTTTATCGGGAACGCCGCGGCGAAAGTTAAAATTGGAAAGAGTTTATCGGGAGAGTCGCGGCCCAATCACCTCACTCGGCGTGCCGCGGGCCTTATCAAAGTCCGCACTTCTTACACGCTGTAGTCTAAAGTGCAACCCGCGTGAGGTACGCCGTAGCGATGGGGCTACCCTAAGTGTTTGTGGGGCTGGTCGGGTTGGGTTGTGTGACAGTTAAGTTTATATGCTCACGAAACAAACTTCAGCAATCGGTTGAGTGTTATCGACGACAGTAGATGATGTCGACAGATGAGCTAACAAGTTGCTCAATTTGTACTCATTCGTCGTCATGAAAGACAGGCCAAGATTGTTTCACTCTTCCTAGGCCTTACAAGCATGCTAATCGGGTCAACTATCGGGCGCTTACAGGATGCGCCGCGGTCACTTATCGGGTCCAATATCGGTTTATACCGGGCAGCTCGCGGCATGGATGATTGGTGGCCGAGCAAGCACCCGCGAACTTCCCGATGCAATTGTCTGGGTAGAAGTGGAGGCGCGAGAGCAGTGGGTAGGGCCAAAACTTTTTCTGATAGTCTCATCGTCTAGATCATCGACTATAGAGAAAGGCATGTAGGAAAAAGCAACATATAAGAAAAAAACAGTGCCTATATGAATGCTTGTTATGCAGAACAGTCGGGTGACTGCAACCAGCCAAAAGTATCTTGTTGCCAAATGTTGCTGTTGCTCCAATTTGTTCCAGTAGTTTCAAAAACAGATTTGGCGATATGACTACAACATACCGACTACGCAAAATTTACTCTGCTAACATATTTATGAGCACGGTTGTTTTTTACACAGTATTCTCTTCATTACGTCATCATTCGACTAATGTTCTCGTTGTAAACGAAAATCTTCATCAACTATGAAGGTTACTCGTTGTCGCCTCGTTTCGTCTTCATGTTCTTGGCGAGTAACAGATTTGCAGCTTTTGGATTCCCTTCCGCACCACAGAGATATAATATTTCATAAACGTTGTGACAAGGCCTTTACTTACTGTCTTTCCAAATCTAAAAAGTTCACAGAAGATGTCACATGTTATTACCAAATAAAATTGCATGCTGGTAATCGTTATACAGTGAAAGAAGAAGAGAATAACGTCATCAAGAATAACGGGAAGTCCTGCGATTTGCACTGGTCTAAATCTTAAGGTGTTTTTTGACTCAGCTCTTATGCGACACTTATATGTATAGGGCATTCGAAAAATTGTGGCGATCGCACGATCGCGCGCGACACGCACTTTCCGGCAACCGCATTTTCTTGCTTTTAATCTCTGCTCAGCCGGTTCCTTTGCTTGAGTATGATATTATCTGGCCACTGGAAGTGACTGAGCTGAGTGATGCCTTTTTGTATGAGGATGATATGCTCCTCTGGCGCAACGACCGCAGTCAAATCCCTCGTCACGATTTTATGGATGAACTCTATGCCTATCGTATCATCTGTCATATCCAGTTAGCTTTGCGTGCTCGCACATTTATGAAAGTTGTATAGGAAGTGAGCTATGTTTTCCACACTTGGATTCCTTCACAAACCAACTGTAGGAAAAGCGCAAATATGTGCGCCATTGGTCTATCTTCCCTCGCCCCGCTTCGGGGCTATATAAAGCAATACGCCCCGCCCACGAGAGGTTCGGACTTGAGGCAGCTTCGCAGCTGCCTCTTCAACAAGATCGTCTCCGAATCCCCGCTCCCCCCCCCCCCCCTCATTTTAATACCCGCCCTCTACTTTTATATAATCTCTAATCATATGGAACAACCATCGGTTCCGCCTTGACTGAGGTGAGCCATTCGGCCACCTCAGTCGAGGCGGAACCCGCGGTTCACTCGCTGGAAGCGTACGGATATATCAACACTCGGTGAAACCGGAATTTTTACATGAAATCAAGAATGCTTGTATCTCGTCTCAGAGACATCCTTGGACCTTGCGTCAAAAACACGTGTATGCTAACTTTTGATGGTCATTCCAGCGGTGCTACTCAAATATTTTTTCTCCTTCTCATTTAAAGACGCCATCATGATCTCCTCCCAATAAATTTAAAAAACCCCTGGAACAACGGTTTTTTTCTGAAAATATTTATGGTATGCTTACCCACATATATAATAGAATGTGAGCATGTAAAATTTCAACAATCAAGTCTAGCTCTATTAGAACCTGATCTAAAAGAGTGTTTCATAAATAAAACATTTTCCATAATAGTTTAAACCTCGCCAAAAAATTGGAATTGTTGTGATTTTATAGAGATCAGTGTACTCTTTCGGTACGTTTGATCGTGATCATTAGCACTCGAATTATCTCAAGGCTGTTTTTTGATTAGCGCACTTGCTTATCCCTTACCGAAATCCAGCCCCAGATGACAGGAGAAATATTTTGATGCAGAGTTGAGGATGAAAAATAAAGATTACCTCATTTGAATCAGCTTACCAAGTACCAACTTACACCTTTCTAGTCCGAGGCTCTAAAAAATAAAGTGTTGGAAATAGATGTTCTGCCGAGCCCAGATTGGTACAGTGGAATCTTTATTGACCTAACGTTTCGACAAGGTCGTCTTCTTCGGAGGTCTGAAAGATGATTGCAGTCCTGACCTGTAAAACTACGCCGCCAAACGCCATCTCCGCAGTTATCGAGTCTAGACCTCGTCCTATGCACAACGTACAGAGAGGCACGCTGGCAGAAGGAACCAACCGTTGATCCACCGTGATAAGAATGTTAGTGGTCCGCAGGAAGCAGCGTACGATAGCCGCAGAGATGTTGCGGACGGACGACACTGAGTGTCACTCGGTGTGTCTCGTCTATATATAAGGCAGCTACTGTTCACATAGTGAAAGGCAGAAGATCATTCGTCATTGACAGGCATTCATTCTTGTTATCCATGCTTGGGCTCTTTAAAGAGTCCAGTATCTTTCATGCAGAAGTTTCTGTCTCGTACGCCAAGATAAAACATTTGACCTTAAACTCAGCTCCGCCATGTGCTTCAAATCTATGCTTTCCCAACGGTGATACCAATTTCCCTCTCTTTTGTTTGCTATGTGCTCTTTGACCCTGATATTCAATGCTCTGCCCGTCTCACCTGTGTAGGACGCTCCGCAACTTGAACACACTAGTTGGTATACGACCCCTGACTTCGCACAATCTCCTAATTTTCCGTATGGACAAACAACGCATTGCTCTGATACGTATTCTGTATCATAAAACCTGTTTCGCACTAACTGCTTCCTGATGTTTTCGTTCGGGATGTTTACCAGTACAACCTCATTTTTCAGTTGTGCTCGAGCAACGCGCTGCTTTATCGCTGCACTCATTTCATCGGAGATGAAAGGTATGCAAAGTGGGGCTCTCTTGTCGTAACGTGCAGTTTGACTAACATTAGATCGTGGACGTCTATTAGCATGCGGATCTGTGTAGCCGTTGTTGCGAGCAATTGTTGTAGCCAATCTAGTGGATTCAAGCCGCTCTTCTTCGCCAGTGCAAACTTCTACAGCCGTTTTGTACATATAATTAAGAATTGCACGTTTCATCGTTGTGGGATGCGCTGGCTTTGCATGTATTATGATATTCTTCGAGCTTTCTTTCCTGTACCATTTCATTCGAATCGTGCCACCAGATAAATTTACCTGGGTGTTCAGGAACGGAAGCCATCCACTGGCCGGGGTTTTTCTGGTAAACCTAATGTACTGTGACTGCTGGTTGAAAAGTGCGAAACATTCGTCCATTTCGGACTGAGTCGATGTTATTACACAGCAGTCGTCGACAGTTATCGACAGTACATTATGAGTAAGCGTGCAAGTACTGGCTCCTCTACCTTACTCATGAAGCAAATCGCAAGGGCTGGGGCTAGGCGTTGACCCATAGCCAGCCTCCTGATCTGAGAATAGTAATTGTCGTCCGTCCGCAACATCTCTGCGGCTATCGTACGCTGCTTCCTGCGGACCACTAACATTCTTATCACGGCGGATCAACGGTTGGTTCCTTCTGTCAGCGTGCCTCTCTGTACGTCGTGCATAAGACGAGGTCTAGACTCGATAAGTACGGAGATGGCGTTTGGCGGCGTAGTTTTACAGGTCAGGACTGCAATCATCTTTCAGACCTCCGAAGAAGACGACCTTGTCGAAACGTTAGGTCAATAAAGATTCCAACGTGCCAATCTGGGCTTGGCGGAACATCTATTTCCATTGCAAATTACGACATAAGATGCCCAGATTTAGAGAAGAGAGAACCTGGAGTTTACTGAAAGTATTGGATATTCAATGCCAAGATCGGGATGCCCAGAAGAGGAATAAGAAGAAGAATAGAGGAAGAAGAGGAATACGGATTGGGAAGTTTGGATATGTGCTTCGAAATGAAAAAGGCAACCGTCTTGCTGAGCTTCTCTCCGCCGCACGACTTTTTCATGGAAATTCCATCTTCATGAAGAAGGAATATCGCCGGTGGACTTGGGAATCGCCCAATGGAACGACTCACGCGGAAATCAACCACTTTCTCACCAATCGAAGGTGAAGCTTGCTTGATGCCTCAGTAGTTCCATCTTTCTGTAGTGGCTTCGATCACCGCCTCCTTCGAGCGAAGGTACGATTCAGTCGCAGGCTGAAAAAGAAAGTCTGTCACAGTACCGCAAAAAGGAAGAATGTCGTTTATGACGGTAACAGGCTGGAAGAGCTCATATCAAGTTGTGACTGGCCCATCGAGGAGGACCCAACTTACGACTACGACTGGCTTCTGAAAGGATTGCGAGCTTGCGGGGAGTATGCCTCAGTGACTTCGAGAAGAACTTGGAGCGCATTTCGAAGACCACCAAGGAACTGCTCGAAAGAAGAAGATTTCTGAGGCAGGATCCGAATGCAACTCAACTCGAGCGACTGATAGCCAACGCCAGTTGCAGAACAGCCTTGCAGGAGGATCTCAGAAAGTACAGGCAAGCCAAGATACTGGAAGCAGCCGAAGGAAGACGAAGTCTCAAGAAGTGCCGAAGGGACCTCCGTGATATCACGTACCGCTGGCTGCACTATTAAACGAAGACGGGACTCCGACATCTTCCCGATACAAGATGGAATCTATCGCGAAGAACTTTTACGCCAGCCTCTTCCGCTCATCAACAACCGTGCCGATGCCCGCTGTTCCCACTGGAGAAGTACCACCACGAATTCTACCTGCTGAAGTGCGCGCAGCGATTCAGACCATGAAGACATCCACGGCTCCAGGACCAGACCATCTTTCCTTCGAATTTCTGCGAGTCGGAGGACAACGTCTACACGAGATTCTCGCGTCGCACCTGACATCTTACCTTCAGAAGGAGAGGATTCCTGACCAGTGGAGAACGTCAAGAACCGTCCTTCTTTTCAAGAAGGGTGAACGGGAAGACCTTCGAAACTACCGTCCAGTATGCCTGCTGAGTGTGCTGTACAAGCTTTTCACGAAGATTATCCTCGCTCGCATATCTAAGACACTGGATGAAGCCCAACCGAAGAACAAGCTGGATTTCGCAAAGGATTCAGCTGCATGGACCACATCCAGACGGTCTTGATGGTTATAGAAGTCTGCCGGGAATACCGACTGCCTCTCGTCCTAACCTTCGTCGACTACGAGAAAGCATTCGACAGCGTCGAAACCAACGCCATCCTGTCAGCGCTAGTCGATTAAGGAGTGGACCCAGCCTATGTGAGAACACTAGCCAACTGCTACAAGGACTGTACAACAATGATGCAGAAAAGGGGTTCGACGAGGTGATACTATTTCGCCGAAGCTGTTCACCGCGGCCTTGCAGTGGGTGATGAACTCACTGGACTGGGACGAGAGAGGCATACGAGTTGATGGGAGATTCCTGTCGAACCTTCGTTTTGCGGACGACATCGTTCTCTTCTCGAGCAGTATCACTGAAGCAGAGACGATGCTGAACGAACTAAACGAAGTAGGTAAGAAGATCGGATTGCGAATAAATCGGAATAAGACTCAGTTCATGAGGAACGCCCTTTGCGAAGATGCAGAAATGGAACTGGAAGGCACCCCTATTATGGAGATGTCTTCTTACGTGTATCTCGGACGTTCGATGAACATGAAGAACGACTTGAGGGAAGAACTTCACAGGAGAAGAACAGCAGCCTGGGCCGCCTTCGGGCCTCTGAAGGAAGCCATCGACCAACTGACGGATCCGGAGCTTCGTGCCCACCTGTTCGACTCAACCGTTCTCCCGGCGCTCTGTTACGCAGCTGAGATTGGGCTGACACGGTAGCCACGTCGAAAGCCTTACGGACCACCCACAGGGCGCTGGAGCGCAGTCTTCTGAAGGTGACCCGACACAAGCAACATCTAGTCGGATTTCGTAGTACGGATATGAGAAGAATATCCCGTCTTCGTGACCCAGCGGAATACGTTGCGAAAGCGAAGCACCGATGGGCCGGTCACATTATGAGAAGAACAGACGACAGATGGACACTAAGAACAGACAGACAAACAGACACACGCGAAAGCCTAGTAAGTTTGCATGGATCACACATGGATTAGTCGCTAGTAAAAAATAGACTTCATTCCATCGTGTATTACATGTTTTAGTAAATGCCAGGGGTGTCTCATCGCAAGCCTGAAGACGAACATTTATTGCAAGTCAAACTGATACATATTATACATCACTGCTCATGCAGTAAGCGCTTTACAAGAGATGTATGAGATAATTGTTATTACATCACAATGAAGCGCACCCCAGATCATATAGCTGATGACTCAAAAAAGTACTGCGAAGGCTGGCTGCTGGTATGTCGTTGCATCAGATTAGGTTCCGCTCGCAAACGAAGCCTCTAAATTCAAAAATGGTTCCGAGTCAACCGAATAAGCTACCAGTAATCTTTTCACCTCAGACAATGGAGCTGGGTGACGACGTTCCTCACGCAAGTACGCAGGCCTATCATCAAAAGTACCTGAACCTTTTCTTTGCAGTGGTTTTTTCTCTTCACTGAAAGATGAGATAAAAAGAAAGTGGAGTTAGTCAGTTAGTCAAAATCCACACATACTTCAGATTTGTAGGCTGCCAAGAAAGACGTTTCTCCCATTCTGTAGTGGTTTGCGATGTTGTTGTCTTCCCCTTCCAACAGCAAGCGTAGGTAGTTGAATAGAAAAAAACAAAACTCACTTTTTTCAGCTGTTGCTGTGCATGCGCAATCTGCTTTTTCTTGCGAATATTCCACAGTACACAGAATATGACCATGAACAGCATAACAAACCCTGAAAAGGTAACCAGTAATCTGGGTGAGGGCGTTCATTGTCTGTGCCACCGTGTCAGCGCCGTTTCAGGATCAATGCCTCCGCATGGTTTCAGCGCCCTGCTGCAACCATGTGGACGCACTGCACATTGGTCATTGACCTCCGCCACTACACTTCCGGCACGGTGCTGGAGCAGAGCTAGCATGATGCCGGAAATTATATCAATACACGCGAAACTTTGGACACGCTTCAAAGCCATATTTGGCAAGGAGTGTACCTACCAAAGATCGATAGTAGTGCTGTCATCCATTTTAACGCGTATTCGAGGTTCCGATCTAAGCACAAATACTACAGCAAAAGTCACCTGCAGGAACGAAGTTTTTTCTCACCTCTACACCAGGCCCACCATCCGGGTGTCCAAGTACCATTGCGGCATGTCCGTTCCACGTCTCCATGAATAAAATATTTAGGCTTGCATGAGAAAGTCACCGTATCTCCATCGAGATAATTCGCCGCGGGCGGTGTCTTGACAACGCCTTCCTTCTTTAGCAGTGGCCCGCAAGAGATCACTGAATTTTGGTAGTGAAAGTAGTCAGCAATGAGTGTCGGTATTTATATGTACGCTGTTTGGAGCCACTTTTCTGCATTGCAAAAAAGTTCTTCTGTTTCCTCAAAGTAGTAAGACCAACTTCCTTTCTTCCCGTCATCATGTAGTCATATTCACACTGTGAGACTCCTTGACACGTGCTGGTCACCTGTAGATATGTATATTGCGATGCACAATCTGTCCTATAGTCATTATCAGGGCCCGGCACGAGGTGGGCAAACGACAGGCCGGCGTTTTGGGTAAAAAAGCAAAGGGGACATCGTTTTTGCGGGGTCCAGGCGAAACCCCGGAAAAAATTCATGTTATTGGTATTGGTAGTTCATGCTCTCTGCTTATCTTAACATGTTATACGCCTCAGCAGGCGAACGCTGGAGTTCCCTCGTCAAACCGCGCTGTCGCTAAATGCCGCAAGAGCGACGTCGCTTGAACGATGTCATTTGTATTTGTAACAACATATATGTTTAGTTCTCAATGCATTCGAAACCTTATGGCACCAAATTTCGTGAGCTGAAGAGGGGGTAGTGGAAACAAAGCATGGAAAATTATGGAAACTTATGTGAACGAAAGGAGTAATAAGCTTTTTTCTGAAAATTTCGCGTAACTGGTAAGTGAAGATGCTAATGCAAATGGCTCGTTAGCAACGCACACATGACGATATGGTATGAAACTTGGTAGATTTATCAAATAAGGCGTGCAGAGGTTAACTGAGAGGTTTCATTAAAAATTATGCGACTAGAGGTTGTGGCAAGCTTCTGAAAATTCCCCGCTGTCAAAACGTAGAAAAATGGCTCGTTTGCAACGCAGAGATGACGAAATCGCGCGAGTTTTGGTGTTTATACGCGCACGAGGACTAAGGAAAAAGTATGAAGAAATTATGGAAAACTTATGTAAATGAAGCCTGCCCCACTTTCAAAGTAGCCATTTGAGGTAGGCAAAGCTTTCAGTTTACGTAAGTTTTTCAAAATTTCTACATAAATCTGTTCTACACCTGAGGTTTAGTATAGTAATACTTTGATTCTAAAGCTCCTCCTCCCTTCCTTGTTAGGATTCGAAAGAGTGACGGTGCCTTGGAGGAAGAAAGCGCGCTCCAATTGAACAACCTATGTTGCTGGCGGGATCAAGTCGGAAATCGTGAAAATCGATAGCAGCAAAGGATTCGTTTTGCCGATGCTCATTTGCCATCTTCGTGCTGAACCCTGGTTATCATCAGGCTGGCATATAAGTCATGCAACTTTTCTTAGAACTTTCGTTTTTTTTGAATGTGTGGGTTCCATTCTCTGGTATTATGATCATTGTCACGTAAAAGACGAATGTAATCATTCCTGCCGAGTTCCATCATATTTGTGAGTTACGGTGTACCAATTGTTCAGATCGGATGAATGTTATTCCATGGGGGTTATACGACACCTGATTACGGAAATGATAATCATTTTGTTGTCATGCGATATTATGCCAGTGCCAGGTTTGCCAGGTTGTACGGTGGAATGTTTTATTGGCCTTACGTTTCGACAAAATCATCTTCGTCGGAGGCCTGAAAGTAGATTGCAATGTTATCTGTGGGACCAGACCGCCAAACGCCTCCCCGCACTGCCGAGTCTAGACCACGCTCCGCACTCAACGTACAGGGCATGTCGATAGAAGACGAACCTTTATCCACCGTGTTGTTAGTGAGAGTCAGTAGAGTCAGTACTTAGTCGCACGAGACAGACGACACTGAGTGCTCTATGATCGACACTTATATATGCACAGACTTTCGCTCACAGATCGTTAAGATAGGCAAGAGTTCGGCTATTATTGATACGCATTCACTTTTGTTGTTCATGCCAGGATTTCAAAGGAAATCCACGCTGCCTCTACGGTTTTCCTCACTGTAATCTCTGCCTCGTATGCTTCGCGGTGAATTTGACGTTAAGTGCACTATTTTGTCATAATTGACATTGTCATTTTGCTAAATTCTAACCTGGAAACAATTGAATATGATATTCGTCAACATATCAATTACCTATGCAAAATTTCGCCAGAATCGACTCTTTGGCATTATCGAACATTGTTCGAAAATCGGAAATTTTGAGTAATATTCCACTATCGAATAATATTCGAAAATAAAAATTTGCGAACATTCGACTAATATTCATACATCGTATCGGTTTTTAGATACCAATCGATTTCCGAATATCCTTCGACTTTCGAACACTATTCGAATAATCAGTATCAATGGGATGACTGTTGTGGGGGACCAAAACATCTAACAATAAGTTGTTCCATGTAAGAATTGAAAATAGATACTTTTCCATGTCACAATTCCGAAACTTTTACATTATTAGAGACTCTCACCATATTTAAAACTAGTTGGCAAACCTGACAACCTTATTGACAGGCCCGGGCAAACGCCCGGGCCTGTCAATAATATATTTGTAATCAGCATGCTCGATTACCCCCTTGTGCCAACTCCCAGCCCTGTAGTTCAAATTTTGCAAAAAATCGATAAAATCGATATCGATCGATAACGAAAAGTAGCCTATGACACGCTCCCTGTCCCGAAGTATATGTGTGCCAAGTTTGGTCCGAATCGGTTCAGAAATAAAAATTTCTATTCCGCACATACGTACAGACATACAGACATACAAAAAGACAGATATTCAGCTTTATATGTAAGATTTGCACTCAGTCCAGTTTACCCTGAGAACTGTTTTCAAACCTTCTCAAAACATAATTGCAATCTAAAACCTTGAAAAACTTGTGCATAATAAAATCAGCATACGTAAGAACGCTGCTTTAACTAATTTTCATCTTTTCTAAAGAAATTCTTTCAGATCTTACTTCGCAGTTGCTGTTTATGCTGGAAGTTCCTACCGTGATCCAAAGCGTGGGTGATTTGCTTGCTGTATGTAAGCTGAGGGCATCCTTACAGGATGTTATTAGGTTATCCGGATATTAATGCAAGTTTCTTACTCGATCGCGATTCGATCCATTAATGAACGATCGCAAAGAATGATCCACGTAAAGTCTAGAAGCAAAAACCAAACCAAAAAACAGATTTTGTCCAAAAGATCCTACAGAATTCCAAACTGGTCAGGCATATACTGTCCGCAATCATTTGTGCAACTGCGATAGTTTTTCAGAATTAGGAATTGAGAAAGTGAAAGTTGGCATGCCCTAGCAAATACAACGCCGAGACATTCTGACGCAGGTAATTCTATGCTACAAATCTTGGAAAGTACCTCCATAGATTTCAAGCTCCCTCCAAGGTCTAGTTTCCGAGAAATATTGAATTTAGTATATCCGAGATAGAAAATTAGCTAGCACTTTTCCGTCTTAAACTTTCAGTTTTCAGCCATTATAGAAATGCGGTAAGGCCTAAGGCATACCTCCGCAATTTCGTCAAATCTCTACATCCACACGACTTGCCGGTTTGCCAGATATCTACAGATCAGGCGTGTGCGGGTTCTAAGTGCATAGGCGCGTAGCTAAGACCGTAAGTTATAGCAAAAGCTTTGAGTCGTTCATGCAAAGCGCGCTAACAACCAGTTACGAAGAGTCGCTGCAGTGCCAGATCGCGTAGCAACTGGAATCGGTGAAGTATGCCTTAGGCCCAAAGGCGCATATAAATGTTTGATGTAGAGAGCATATGCCTGACTAAGTCGGAGGTCCGCAGAATTTGTTGGACGGAGATCTGATTCTTGGGTATTTCGAATGTTTTGGATTTTGCCTTCAAACTTCAAGTGAAACAAACTTCTATGCAGTCTTGCAGAGTTTGCTTTGCTTTATCGAAAGATATGCTTTCTACATTTGATGTATCAATAGTGCCGCAATCGCATAGGGAACCTGCGATGATTTTCGGACAACTTAGATACTTACTGAGATACTTAGATGGCCCGTCTTCACGTGACGTGTGGGCACCAGCACAGATAAAGGATCAAAGGATAAAGGATTTGGCGCCTTTAATACCCTCTGCGTGCATGCGCCGAACGCACACTACTTCGTAGTCGAAGAGGCAATTGTATGCATGCGAGTCTATCAGTGACTTGTGGGGCCAGCCGATCACCAAGTCAGTGCTTTTATCCTCTCAGATTACTCTGGAATCAATTTACCGGCCCCGAAGGGTAAAGGGCTTGGTTGGCCTAGGAGCGGTAATCGAACCTGTGCTCGATTTGGTCATAGCGGCGGCTCATATCACTACGCCACCCATCCCTCGTCCCAGCACAAAAGATTCCATCTGTCCCTGTCCTTCGCTTCAGACATTCACAATCTTCTTCTTCGGTGGCTGCGTCGTTTTAGGCGCAAAAATCGTATTCAGCTGATTTCTCAGCTGGTCCCCCGTTCCACAAACATGTCTGCCCACCCGTTGAAGGTCTTCCCCGGAGACATTTTGCTTCGCGAGGAGTCTACTCTAATGTTCTTGGTGTCCATTTGTCATCTCTTCTTCTCATAATACGACTGGCCCATCGATGCTTCGCTTTCTCAGCCTATCCCTCTGAGCCGCGAAGACGGGGCATTCTTATCATATCCACTAAGAAGTCCGACAAGACATTGTTTGTGTCGAGTCTTTTTCAGAAGACTGCGCTCTAGCGTCATGTGGCTGATCCTTAGAGCTTTCGACGTGGCTACGGTGTCAATCCAAATCTCAGCTGCGTAACAGAGACGAAGTGCGACGCGAAAATCTCGTATAGACGTTGTGCTTGCAGAAAGAAAGACGGAAAGATGGTCTACTCCTAGAGCAGTGGAAGTCATCATGGTCTGAATCGCCGTGCGCAATTCAGCATAGAATTCGTGGTGGTACTTCTCCAATAGGAACAACGGGCAATGACACGGGTGTCGATGAACGGAAGAGGTTGGTTTCGCAAAATTTCATCCTATATCGTAAAGTCGAGGTCCCGTCTTTGTTCAATAGTGCAGCCAGCGGTACGTGATATTCACAAAAGTCCCTTCGGCACTTCTTCAGACTTCATCTTCCTTGGGCTGCTTCCATTATCTTGCCTGTACTTCCTGAGGTCCTCCTGCAAAACTGTCCTGCAAGTGGCTGTCAGTCTCTCGAGATGCTTGCACTCGGATCTTGCCTTAGTGATCTTTTTCTTTCGAGTAGTTGCTGGTCATCGAAATGTGTTACAGGCTCTTCACGAAAGTAAATAAGGCGCACTCTCCGCAGGCTCGCAATCCTTACAAAAGCCTGTCCTAGTCGTACGTTGGGTTTTCTCGATGGCCAGTCACAACTTGACTGAGCTCTTCCAGCCTGTTAGCGTCATAAAGGACATTCTTTCTTTTGCGCTACTGTGGCAGACTTTCTTTTCCAGCTTTCAACTGAATCGTACCTTCGCTTGAAGGAGGCGGTGATCGGGCCACTGCAGAATAATGAAACTACTGAGACATCGAGGAAGCTCCACCTTCGGTTGGTGAAAATATGATCGATCTCCGCTTGAGTCGTTTCGCTGGGCGATTTACATGTCTACCGGCGATGTTTCTCCTTCACGAAGATGGAATTTTCACGGAAAAGTCGTGCGGCGGAGAAAAGCTCAAGAGACGTTACCTTTTTTGTTCCGGAGCCCATCTAAACTTCCCGATCCTATATCCCTTTTCTCGTGTCATCCAGATTTCCGCGTTAAAGTCGCCCACAACAAAACTGTGAAAGGATTCTTGTTGCGCTATGCTTCCTATGAAGATGTGGAGGACCTCCTCCACATCTTCATAGGAAGCATCTGGTTTTGTTTATCAGCTGCAGATATTGTAGAGTAGCAGTTGACGATGCTGATGGTCTTCTGACGTGGAAGTCGTAGTCGTAGGATAGCTAGTCGTGGTGATGGGATCTCATGCGAATCGACAAGATGGATGATGGGTGGGTGGACGACAAAGCCAACGTCTCGAACGTTTCGTGGTGGAACCTTCACACCTCGTATGATGGGGTCCATCACCTACCTTTCGTACCTTTCAAACGTCCTTCTTCCTGGACTTCGTTTCCTGCAGAGCGATGACGTGGTACTTGATGTGCTCTGGAGCGTCAAAAAGAGCGTAGAGGTTGGCTTTTGTGGAGACTGTCCTGGCGTTGTAGGTGCAGAGAAGCAGTCTCCAAGGTGTGTCGTCCCGCCCAGACATGCTTTGTCCGACCCAAAAAGGCGCTCTGAGGACCCTGACATCGTTTTTGCTATCACCCGGCGTCGTAGGCGGGGTCTGATAAACAGGGTTTTCTCTTCATTTCTTGTTGCTAACAGAGTGATTGAAGTTTTCCCCTACAAGAGCAGATTTAGCCTCTTGTTCTCCACGTGACGATCGCTGACCCGGGTGTGGAGCGGGGGGAACCGCCTAGTGACCAGAAAACCAGAAGGCGGAGATCTGGCCTGGCCGGCTCTTTGCTAGGCATCTGGCCGAAACCGGAAATATTGAACTCCTTCACAGCTTGGAAGACCGTACCAAAGTATACACTTGGCTGTGCATCGCAATTCGACACCTAAGCCCAGTAATCCCCCCGTCGTGATGGTTGCGACATTCGAAATATCGCACATCGTACCCAGCACGTGTCGTTTCGACCGCGATACGTCGAGCGGCTATTACTTATCACTGCAGCACGACGATATCGCGGGACGTCGTGACTGAAAGACGTGCATGCCCTCATGCGCAGAGATCGAGCACGTCGTGAACGTCGCCACTTGAGGGCAGACAACGAAAAATAGTGCGCCCAGCGTGGAGGAGCAGGAAGGCGCAACCGATTGGGGTCGAGTACGCCGTGTCCGTCCTGTGCGCATGGACCGTAGGCACACAGCGCAGGTTCAAAGCACGCCAAATTAAATCGAAATCAACAGCTGATAAGCGCTCAAATGTTAAGGTGCTGTGCGATTTTTTCTGTTTTAAGAATTCCAGCTGCTATATTCTTCGTAATTTGGAAAAAATGAGTTGATATTGACTACAAATTACATTATAATTCTACTCATTCGTATCTTATCGTGTTTAAACTAATTTGCCTTTGATTCTCGTTTCGCAACTCATTTGCGCGCCAAGTTTTTTCTGCATGTCTCACAAGGGAAGGATAGTTGGATGCCGCGGCCATTCCTAATGATTTGTATACCAAAAAATGCGCCTTCGAATGCAGATTCTGAATCTGTGCTCGAAATCTGCGAAACGATCTTTTGAAGAAAGTTATGAACTTTTTTCCTTGAGAATTTAGCCTACTTTTGGATAGTAAAAATCACCAGATTTGATCTAGCCTACCGTTTGATGCTACTGAAGAAAATTTCAGACGTAGTAATATTTATTTAGACTATCTGGATCATACTCAGCATTTAGAAAGGAGAGGAAATTTTTTTATTGATGATTTTGACCCTCCGCAGGAACGCAATTTTTTCAATGAAAAAAAAATCATAACTCCATTTAGATTATCGTTTCGCAGATATGAAAGACAGTTTACGAACCAGCATTCAAAAGGGCATTTTTTGGCATACAAATCATTATGAATGGCTACGGCATCCAAGTATCCTTCCCCTGTCAGTCCTTTTTTCTTCCATCTTAATACCTTTTATAGCTTATATGCTGTTTTGCTGTTCATTAGCTGTACGCTCAGCGTTTCACTTTGATTTGAGGGAGGGAGCGTTATGGCTAACGGAATAGCTCATGTTTGTACCAAAAAAGTGATTGTTTTATAAGATTCCAATTTGTCTTGTGTATTGCCAATATTTTGTGCTTTGGATTGACATTTTTCTCTATCACCAAAAAAACTAGCAAATACGTTCACTTACATAGAAATTAATTTACCAGCAACTTGCTAAAGATACCTTATATGGTACTCGTACCCGCCACCGCTAGCTCAGCTCCCTCCAACCTGACTGCGCTATTCCCTGCCTTTATAGCGCCGTCAGTATGCGCCTTGATAATGAAAGTGGTAAGCAGTGCATACTTTTATATCTTACATTCAGGCTAACACACATCAAAGTTTGCTTATCGATTTGCTTGATAGGTGTCGCAAGCGACTGTTTTGTCGGTCACATCTTCGCTTCCCTAGCTTCAACTTTAATTTCTCGACATCGAAGAGATGTCAGTAGCGCAGTATCAGGCGCGCCGTCCACAATCATCGAAGGGTTTGATCGCGCGAGCGAGCACAAGTTTCGCGGCGACCAAGACGCGTGAGCAGTATGTCTTCTGTCGGGCACGTCATGACTTTGTTTTCTTTACATCACGACATATTACGGAATTTAATCGAATATTCGGAAGTTGAGATTTTCTAATATTCGACTTTCGAAAAATATTCAAATTCTCAAATTTTCCAAAAATTCGATATTTCGAATCATTCGCATTCAAATGATTTACTCGAATAATCGAATAATTATGCGACCCGGATCAGAATAATACGCTCCCCCCCCCTCCTCCTCCCGAAAAGGGGGCGCGAAATTTTTGAAGGTTGCTTACATATGTCATAAAAAGAGAAAGCGACTTAATTTCATTTTTAAATAATTATAATGATTTTGAAAGAATTTTAGAAACTAAATTAATTTTGTAAAGAATGTTGGGCCTTGCATAGAGCGGTTGTTTAACATGCTGTGGCCGTATTCATCAAGTCTGTCCCCAGAAATGTTCCCATAGGCCTCGGGCAGAGTTCACGCGATTTGTCGATTGATCGCGACAAGATAATTAACAACATCATTGCACGCCGATCTTCTTGCATTTCGGTTGTGGTAGTTTTCCAACACGTATTCGTGACTTATCATGATCGAAATACAAGAAGATCGGGGCATGCAATAAACTCGTAACCTTGTCTTGTCGCGATTAAATCGCAACAATTAATCGCGTGAACTCTGCCCGAGGCCATCAACCTGGCTGCTTTTCGATCGTTCTAACATGTCAACCTTGAATGAACTCAAATTTGCTGGTTAACGTGCTTGAACGACCGAAAGGCAGTCACGTTGATGGTGATACATATGAGGACATTTCTGGCGAGATCAACAATACCTGGAGTATACTCTGACAGCGCACACCCGCATTTACAAATTGTGGTTATTAATTTGCTTACATCTCGAGGTATCAAAAGTGTGGTTCATCTTAGGATATTTAGACGTCAATTCATCAAGGCTATCCTACATTATATGGGCCTGCGCTAAAGTCGCGACACTCATCTTGAGCCAGCCTGTTCCATTTTCGAAATCAGCATGTCAATTAAATACCCCGGGTCAAAGTCTTAGCAAATGACATTTGGCTTTTGGAATTATAAAAGTGGAATAAAAATAAAGAAGAAAAGATTACTTGTTCTATTGTAAATACCCTCGACGCATTCATGTCCAAATATTGTGGCCAGTATACTGGTGCATAGTCTGTCGATGCGAATAAGAGAGGATTATATATAGGCTTAAATTGCTCGCTGAAGAGAACGCTTCCAATCTTCTCATTTTTGCCGTCTACTCTCCCTGGAAAAGGCATGAAGGAGGATTTACTTCAAGACTTCTCCGGCTCACATGTAATGCCGAATTGCTCATATATCATCTGCGTGGTGCCTGCCGTGAATGTGTCACCGTTGGATCGGGTCACTTGCCCCGATGAAGAAGTCAGATCGTCATTCGGATCATTGTTATAGACGCCTGCAAGCAGGGAAATGTTCTTTTAGACAACAAAGACAAGCAATCAAAACCACCCAAGCAACATAATTTTCTTTTGAAACCATTACAATATAAATTTTGTCTTAAAAACCCTCTTCGTATCCATCTATCTATTTTATGCAAACGTTACCCAGCAAGCCCAAAGTTGTGTAACATCTGTTTGCGCCATCTACCGAATTTAGTGAAGAAGAAGCGGTGATGCCGGGCTGTAATGATGCACGTGTTGACTATCTTTGCAGATCGTGAATCATACTTTGCATGTTGTGTTGTAGCTAGGAGGCAACGTTACCATAACATCGAGCATGCCGTAACTTTCATGTACTCGTATGCCTATTCCGGATTTGAGCATGATAACGATTTCCGATTGGTTCATATTTTGTAAAGGATTGCGCAAGTCGACGTCTGGAAAAGTGTAAATTTGAAAAAGTGGATACCGTGCTGTTGCGATGACAAACTGCGAAACTGCTGATATTTCCAATGCGGCTTATCAAAGAAGCGCCGCACACCATCCACATACACATCGGTACGATAGCGCCAGCGCCTCATTGGTTTTCGTGCAAACACCTAAAAATTGCGCTGATTCGCTTTTGATGACTAGCCTCGGTCATACTTCACGCGACTGAATCAATACGACTTCCTAGAAGTAAAGATCTCTTTTCATGGGCATACTTTTGCAGCAGTGGTGTACCCAGGATTTCCGTTCAGGGGGGGGGGGGGGAGGGGGAGGAAATTTTGCGTGACGTTAGCTAGCATCCAGAAAATTCTTTGATAAAAAAACAATTTAATCACTAAGCATCAACAAGTCATTTGCACACTTTTATAACTAATGTAAATAACGGGGGACAAGTGGCCCAGCGGTATGAGGCGCCGCTATGACCAGTTCGGACACAGGTTCAATCCCAGCCCCTGGGCCAACCAAGCTCTCTATCCTCCGAGGCCGGCAAATTGGTACCAGAGTAATCTGGGAGGATAAAAGCACTGACTCGGTGATCGGCTGGCCTCCGCAAGTCACTGTATAGGCTCGCACACTACAACTGCCTCTTCGACTATGAAGTAGTGTGCGTTCGGCGCATGCCTGCAGAGGGTATTGAAAACTCCGAATCCTTTATCCTTTTATCCTTAATGTAAATAACTATCAACAATTTCGCGACCCTTTCTCGGAGGGGGGGGGGAACACCCAGCCCCCCCCCCTCGGTACACCACCACTGTATTACAGCAACTAAATGCGTTTTTACATTTTGTTACAAACTCATGGATAGCTTGAACTTCCTATGAGGTTGTTCGATCTAGTGAACACTAAAATGATACCGTTTCTATGTTGAGACCATTTTCAAAGACGGTGGTGGGTATAGGGTAATGCAGTCTCAGAAACTGAGCTTTACATAGTTGGCTTATTTGATCATTGCTCGTGTCGTTATGTACATTACAGTAACGCCTTATGACAGCGGTTTGAGACAGTGGCTCAGGAAAACTGCATCAGCAAGCTCTCCATCACTTCTTGCTCTTCCGGATGCGTGAGTGCAGGATGCGCTTGCAAAGTCGAAAAGTGCTTTTTATGGTGTTTTCCGGCTTTGGAAATTGTTGAAGGACCCAGGTTGGCGAGTGGTTCCCGCCATCTAAGGAGCGATTGGCTACATGAGCCAATCAGCCAATTTCTGCCTGAATGACTAGAGTTACAGTTTCCTGCAGCCAGTCACTGTTTTTGGGAGGGATTCTCTGCTGCAGTCCCCCCCCCTTCCCTGCAATCTCCAAGGCCGGAAAACTCCATAAAAAGCACTTTTTGTTTTTGTTTTCTAAAGCACAGTCCTAGATTCAGGCCCACAAGGCCAAGTAGTTGACCCGAGCCACCAACTTCAAGGCGGGTCCCATTGGTAATAACTCCGTTATTATTCGATTAACCCTGCTGCAAATTTGAAAGCCGCATTTTGGCCCTACGTGTACCTGTCGTAACCTACAAAATGTCTTTATCTGCCCAGGGCTCGGCACGGTTGGCTTACAAAGCAGGTTGAATATCGTTTGGGTGAAGAAAGCAGAGAGCATGATGTTTTTGCGGAATCTGAAGCGGAGCCCGCTAAAAAAAATTCAGCAGCATTTAGTATGGTGTATGTGAAGAAATCGCTAATCCCTTCATGTGAAATCAGAGTCATAGTAGTGGTAAAAGATTTTCAACCGCGATCACGCAAGGTAATCTGGCATTGCATTTTTAGATGACATAAGCTGAGTGAAAGAACGTGGAATTGGCCAACTTTACGTTCATCAAATCAACAAAATTTAACGTGACAAGCGCTTCTTCATAATACGAAATATCCCATAGCTATTGTCACATGAGTCATAAAAATAGTGCCCCAACTTTCATTCAACTTCCATTCACCACCTCCCCCACAACTACCCCCATCCCTAAAGTCATCCTCCTCTTTTACTCCACCTTCTCATCTCCTGAAGATGTCGCAAGTGCTCATCGCCTTCCTACCGCTCCCATTCTCTGCAAAACTAACAATTTCCAAATCTCCGTACAAGCGCGGGAACTCAAATGTGCTTCGAAATACAGTTGTGACAGTGGAATGTGAAAAATTTCGGCGAATTCGCCGAATTCGCCGAATTCGCCAAATTCGCCGATGTCGCCGAATTCGCCGATGTCGCCAAATTCGCCGATGTCGCCGATGTCGCCGACTTTGCGTCTTTTCGTCATAACTCCCTTCGTTCTCAATGAATTTCGAATTTGAAGGCAGATTTGGATTTAGCTCGCGGAGACGAATCTTTTCATGTATTGAACTGCTGTAATCGGCTCGGTCACGGAAAGTACATGGTAGGAATCCGTTGCATCTTGTGGTGGTGTTTTCTAGAGTGTGTATTTCGGCGCATAATGTAGGCAAAGGTTTAGAAAAAGAGCGTTTGATGGAAGAGTTTCTGCTGAGTGTTTCCAGCAGGAAATCATATCCTTTTTTGCAGTGAAAAAAAGAGAAAGGAGTACGTGAACTTAGTAAATATACATGAACCACTTACCGTCAAACAAACATAACTATACAGTAACACTATGATTAGCAAAACAATAATAATCTTTGTAATCAGCATGTCTTGTTGCTTATGTGAGCAAAGTGACACACCGCATGACTATGATATTCTGCTTCCAGCAAAACTTCACTTTTTTTCTGCAGACGCCTCTTTGCAACGCTGTGGGCCAGCCCCTTTCACACTTAAAAGATTCGAGTAAGGCGAATCGGAAAGAGTTGTTTCCGTAGATAATCCAGCGGTGAAAAGTAGACGGAGACATGCTTTATAAAGCGCGAAAAGAGATGGTGAATTCTGCAAAAATCACGCGCCTTCAAATTCTACTCGCCATAACTTCCTCCAGAATAAGTATATTCTGAATCCGAAAACGGTGCTGTGCTCAGCTCATCAAGGCGAATCTTTTGGTGTACAGCATGTCCCTGATATCACGATTTCAGTATTCTTGATTCTTTCTGCGGACGTTTCTTCTCGAAGGTGTAAAGCAGCAAGCATTGTCCCGAGTAGATTCCAGCAGGGACCTTTTGATAGTACTTTTTCTGTAGATTATGATGCGCTAAACAGTAGCCGTAATTTTCTTTTAAAAGAAAAAGATGGGCTGGTGAATTGTGGAAAAATCTTGTCGTCCCAAATTCTACTCGCCATAGTCATAGAATATGATGCTCTCTTGCAAAGCAGATGTGATTATCGTAATCAGCAGGTCGAATAACCACTATGAGCAAGTTTTCCGAGATTTTAGGGTTATTTCATTTTTTCTCGTTCTACGCTCTGGAAGCTCGCCGATGGATTTTGGTCAAAATGTTGATGCTCTTGAATTGTAAGGAAACTTCGCTTATAGAGGTTTTCGAACACACTCTTTACGAAAATCGTGGTCTCTGAGGATTACAGTGGCTTTTTGGAGAGATACGGTGAGGTAACTGTAACTGCACCACGGAAGTGCGTAACTTTGCCCGCACTTCTCGCGTATCTCTCAGAAACCTTGCTTGCTTGCTTTTCGAAATCAAAGTGACTAGGAACTGAGCTATCGAATGGTGTATGAGTAGTGCTCCAGTCTATAAAATTCGCCGAGTTGCAAGCCTACGAAAACACGTCCTCATGAAATTTGCACAAAATGTAAAGATCGCGTACATTGTTGAAATTCCATTGTGAGTGGTTGCATGACTAACTGCAAATGTTATTTTCACCCCTCCCGCGTTTTATACAACCAGGGTGAGCAAATGACAAGCTGGAAGTCGTTTTTGTTGGAAAAAGCAAGGGGGAAATCGTTTTTGCGGGATCGATAGCGGAGCCCCGGAAGAAGATTCCAAGTGCAAGCAAAAGAAGGTCGAATCATGCTCATTACCTTACACATCTAATTCATTAAGAAGTAGTTTTCGTAAGCCTCAGCACACAGCAGAGTTCGCGCGCTACGCCGCGTCGCCGCTATTTGCCGCGTGCGCGACGTCGCATGAGCGATGCCGTTGAACAGCATGATTATATGATCAGTTCTCAATGCAGGCGTAACGATATAGCACCAAATTATGTAAGCGAACGAAGAGAGGCTAGTAGAAACAAAGTATGAAATATCATGAAAAACTTATGTGAATGGGAGGAGTAATAAGCATTTTTTCCAAGAATTTTGCAAAACTGGCAAGTGAAGATGTGAATTCAAATGGCTCGTTTGCAGCGCACAGATGACCATACGGTATGGGACTTGGTAGATACATGAACACAGGCCTGCAGGGCTTAACTTAGAAGTTTCACTGGAAAATTATGTGACTAAAGATTGTGGCAAGCTTTTTTCTAAAAAAAACTTTCCCTATCAAGAAAATTGAAAAATGGCTCGATTGCAGCGCAGAGAAAACGAAATCGCGCGAGACTTGGTGTGTGTACATAATTGAGGTGTTCGTTCCTCTACCCGCTCAAACGCTGGGACACGCGCGGCGCGGCTGAATTGTTGCGAGAGCACGACTTGTACAATGGTGAATTTGTACTGGGGCAAGCGTTTTACCTCGCGGCGCGTGCTCCGCAGTGATGTCCAGTCCGTGCGGTCAACGAATCAACTATAACTTCTATGCAGTAAAAATAATACTTGTGGCATGGTCATATAGAAGACAGGGCATCGCGTAGCTGTTCGGTGGACTAAGCTGCAGATGTTATTCAGGCCATTTTGATGTGGTCCAAGATGGCTGGTCGTCAATGTGTCAAGGAGAAAATTACCATAAATAGCTATACTTGAACACACATGCCTGATTGCGACCGACGTCTTTGCACGTTTCCATAAAAAACTTTAGCCTTATGCTCAATCCTTTCTGACCAGCGGATTCCCATCGTGTAACCTTTTATATTCTTGATACCAAAAGGTGAGGGACCTTCACTTGCTTCCTCCGCACAAGATTTCTTCATAGGAGCATCCTGCAACCATTTACGAAGTGCAGGCGAAAGTGAAAAACAATTTGATCAAAACCTCGAAGTGGCAGTCTTTTCGGGATTTGGGGATGTCTGAGGGATTAGGGTCATCCGGAAGATCACTTGAGTGGGTGCTCGTCGACATATTACCAGCTTTATTCTTCTTTGTTGCACTCTGAAAGTAAACACAAGCATCAACTAGAGTACAGAATCTACAGCTACTAGAGACCACTAACAAGGGAAGCTACCTTTCTTAGCTCGGCCTTTTGGCAAGCGGCATATATAGTCTAAATCCGCTTTAAACGCTGATTTCATATATGCTATTCCTATCTGCTACGCACCATTCCCAAGCGAGTTATGGGCTATTTCTGCGCTAAATTGGCATGCTCATCGACTCACGAACATCACTTCATCATCATTTGAGTGCTGATACATCTGCGTTGAGCGTTTTTTAGTGAGAAAAGATTGGATTTGTACTATTTCGATACCTCACCATCTTTTTCTTGCAAATTTTTATCTACAGGCAGTCTTCTCATGTTCAGTAGTATGCCAATTTTACGTATCGTCCATTCGTTGACTGTACGGACATAACCGCGGAGCACGCGCCGCGAGGTAAAATGCTTGCTCCGATACAAATTCGTCATTGTTAAAATCGTGCTCTCGCAACATTTTAACCGCGCCGCGCGTGGTCCGTAGCGTTTGAGCAGTCCGTACGGCCAACGAATCGACGATAGGAGAAAGCCCATAACTCGCTTCGGAATGGTGCGTGGCAGCTAGGAATAGCATATTTGGAATCAGCGTTTGAAGCTGATTCAGAATGTATATGTCACTTGCCAAGGCCGAGTTAAGTTAGGTAGCTTTCCTTACAAGGATTTTGCTGGCCCGAAAAAGATTGCAAAAAGTAGGAAAAGCATCGTACATCGGTTTGAAAGGGGTAGAGGAACGAACGCCTCAATTAGGCATCGCCTCCGCGGGCTGCTGGTCCTTTCGTCCTATTGTTGTGCATCGTGTTGGGACCAGTGGTCCGCGGAGGCGGTGCCTAAGTGAGGTGTTCGCTCCTCCACCCGTTTGAAAGTGCAAACTCAAAAAACGGTACGATCGCACACTAACTGCCGACATATGGATGAGGGAAGTTTGTGTCAACGATGTGTTTCCTTTTCGATAAGCTCAAGGGCAATGCTAGAGTTCCGCGTCGCGTTCGCGAGCGAATAGGCGTTTCATTAAACGCAAAGGCTGGATGCCGTTGAGTCCGACTAAGATAGGTCATGCGTTAGAGAGACAGCAGACAGCAAAGGACTGACAGCGCTCGATCACCGAAACACCGACAGTGTCCGCAGTGAAGCCCAGTTTCTGACGGATTAATGGCTTTTAGCGCTTGAGCGTTCAAATGTGCCGCATCGATTGGAGATCGCTGCGAATGCCCATGCGCTGCAAATCCATAGTTGCTACGATAAAGAGAGCACGTGGTTGACACAAATTGTACGCCAGACGCGGATTTAGGAGTAATGCACATGCATTCTTCCCGTAACTCAAATGCAGGTTATAAGTTGTAGGAATCCGATCTAAGACAGGCGCTACAACTATGTCATTGCCTAATTAGTAATCCAAACCATGATACTGGAAGTGAAGATTGGAGGAAATTGGGAGAACGCATATACTGTACTACAGCTTAGCGGGCAAGTCAAATCCTTCTGCACGTCCGCACTACATCCTGCAGTGGTGATTAGGATCTACTTTCCCAGAATGGATGTAATCCAATAGTCGCAG